GCGCGGCGCCGCCGCCCGCCGCGCCTCGGGGACTCGGGGTGCAGGAGGAGACGGCGGCTGTAACCACCCTGCAGTAAAAGATCAATGTCTGGTCACATTAATAAATTCTTACGCTGATGCACAGTAACGCGCTTCGCGGTTCGCACGTGGAGGGCGCTTCACTTGTGCTTCAGGGCTCATTTCCGAAGCGTGTTCGGGCGCAGCTCAGCAAGGTGCCCCCAGGAGGGCACCTCTGCCCCCTCTCCGCTACCTCCACATCGGAAAATCGGACCCTGGGCCCCCCCGGGTGCGAGCCATCTCCCGCAGCCCGGTGAACGCCAGCTCCGGGAGGAAGGCGCTGCCACCGTGACTTCCGAAGCTCCTTCTCGCTCCCAGCGAAGCCAAGTTTTGTAACTTTTTCTGATCGCTTGGTGACCTACCTGGCGATTCAGGAAAGTGACTTTTTCTTCAATCTGTGGCATTTTGAAATGCTGTATTAGTCTACTGTCACCTACTATAGACAGATGTCAACTACAACCCAAAAAAAACCTACACAAAGCTTTAAGCTCTTTTTTGTTAAAACTGCTGGGAGGTTGCCTACGTGACAACTGTTTAATTAATCATTCTGTCATATTTACAACATCCAATTTCTCTTTGTGATTCACTCTTTAAGGCTGGCAGTACACGGTGCAATTTGCTGTAATAAAGCTAGGTAAACTTCAATTTGCTGCACATAGCACGCGCTGAGAACACCACAAACGCCGCCGCGCTCGCTCTGACGCCGGAGGTGGAGTGCGAGTCCACGCTTCTGCCAAATTAACAACCTTCAGAAAAAACCCAAATAACCCCAGCCCCGAAAGTCAGCCTCCTCCCGCCTGCTTCGTTCAGGTCCGACGTTTCAGCCGTTCCCAGCGTGATGGATGGCGACAGCTCGGCGTGAGTAACGCGGCGGGAGGCAGTCGGAGCAGCACGGGCTTGGGGCTGTGCCCAACCCTCGAGCAGCAGCAGCAGGGGCAGGGAACGCGGTACGCAGAGAAACAGCCGTGGTATTTTAACGAGGTTTTAGGAGTCGTCACCTAAACCACTGCTCACGCATCAGGGGATGCTCGAGTGTTCGTGACAGCCACCCCCGTGATGTGGTTGGCACCAAGTTCCCAAAATGGGAGTTCTTAATCCCATCGGAAGGCCACAATGGGAAGTTTCACCTCCCAGTGGTACCACGCTAAATGCTAGCTGTGTAATGGCACACAGGCTTTTTAAAAAGAAAAAAAACTGTTCCCTGTTGTCCATTTTTTTGGGGGGGGGTTGACTTTCTGTGCTCAGCAAAGGCTGCCTCTGGCTTCAGGCGTACCGCTCACCAGCCTGCTCCGATGGTGATGTGTCCCCCGGGCGGACCTCAGCCCCGTAACGCTGAGAATCAGGGTTGCTTACGAACAGGATGAATCAGGATGAGCACGAGGAGACACCTTTCCTTCCACGCTACCATCTGATTCGTTTTGCCAAAGCCCAGTGCAGCAGCATCTGTTCACAGCGCGGGCAGAAAGAGTCCACAAGCGACGCTCCCAGAATCACAAGCAGGAAGAAGAAGAGTTGTGCGCTCCTCTGCGGTCCAAGGCCTCGTGGTGGTCAGGGTGCTGCCTCTCCACCGGCGGGCGTTACTTAAAAGCAGCATTAAAGGCCCTGCCGATGATAAGTCTGCGCACTTCGCTGGTGCCTGCCCCGATCTCGTAGAGCTTGGCGTCGCGCAGGAAGCGCCCCATGGGATAGTCGTTGATGTAACCGTAAGAGAAAAGCCACAAGTGATTTCTCCTCTCTGATGTCAGAGGCTGGGGTGGGACGGGAGAGAGCGCTGCTTCCGAGGAAATCCCTGCCGGTGACTTACCCAGACACTGAATCCCATCCAGGGCCACCTGGGTAGCACACTCTGCGGAGTACAGGATCACTCCAGCGCAGTCCTAGGGCAGAGTCACAACGATGACAGAGTCAGCAGCGGTGTCGCCTGCCCTTCGCCAGCCTCCGAGTCGCTCTGACCTTTCCGTTACCCTGCGGACATCTGCCAACAAGCCTGAACTACCCGCTCACAAAGGCACAGGATTCACCCCCCAGCAAGCAAGAGGCTGCAGCAGTCTTTCTCCCACCACAGAACACTTGTGTTAGGTCTGCACAGGCCACGGGAAGACAGAAAAAGAAGAAAAAAAGCTCACGAGGGGAGCTGGTCTCTCACAAACGCACATCACGCCCACAGGAGACCGACGTGGTTTGATCTGGGATGCAGGGCTCTGTGCTCCAACTGTTCAACACCCGGCCCCTCCTCTGATGGCGGCGTGGAGATGAGAACACCTCGGAATGACTGCTACAGCCCCTCACCACAGCCAGGACGCTGCCTCTGGGCTTCCACTAAACACCTACTGATGCTGCTCAATCTGCTGCCTTGTAGAACAAGGCTTTCTTTCTCTTTGGAGGGGAAAAAAAGGCACCTAGGGCTGCGAGTGAGTCATTTTAACCCCCAGCACAGAGCTTCCACCCAGCTCACGACCTGGACCAAAGGGAAAGGAATTGCCCCAGCGACACAGCCGAGACGGGAGCGAGCTCACCTTCGCATTGAAGTGGCCCTGGTCACAGGCCTTTGCCACGTTGTAGACGTACTGCCGACACGCCATCAGCCGCGTGTACATATCGGCCATTTTGCCCTGCATGAGCTGTGTGCCCCAAAGACAAGAGAGACATCAGTGTGAGCGAGGGGAAGATTGTTTTCTGCATGAGCACTGGGGATCACCCATCCCCAAGCCATCACAGAGGAACTAGACCGTGAGCAAACCCGTATGTGCCTGCCGGGTCCAAGGGAGCTGGGGGCTCTGCCAATTCACAGACTCCCAGATGTCAGCCGCAGCCCCTCACCCACCACCAGCCGCCTCAGGTACGCGGGCTCAGAGATCCTTTCACCTCCTCACATCATTGCACCACGCAGCACAAACCCCAGGCAACCTTCTCCGTGCAAAGCCCTCCCACAACAGAGCTCTCTGTCGTCTTGCTTTTCTCTTTAAGAACGAGAAGACAAAAACTTCTAATTCCTTTTCTGCCTCACCTGGAAGTGGCCAATTTTCTGTCCAAACGCTTCTCTTACATGCAGGTATGGAATTGCGTGGTCAAGAACAGCTTGCATGAGCCTAAGGAAAGCACAGATATGCAGGAAAAGGAAGACAACAGAACTATTAATTAATAATAATTAAACCTTGGAAGCACAAGCTAAGGCAAAAAGGTTCTCATACCTAAAATGATGCGCTGCCGTCTTTCCTACAGCTCCACTCAAACAACGCTAAGTAAGATCCCAAGATCCCATTTTTCTCCCTAGTGCTCTACACATTGCTCATTTGGGACATCTTGTGGTAAGGTCTTGCCTCCTTAGTTCAGGAGATCGAGATGAAGGGTCAAAGAGCTTTCTTACAACTGTGGCCACACAGTTTGTGCTGCCTTGCATCTCCAGAGACCACCAGCTCAAGAAGTAGCAGCCAATACTATAAAAAAGTGTGGGCAAGAACAAGAAGGGTGAAAAATCCTCCTTCTGCTTTGTGAAAGATCATCTTTCCACGTGAGGATTAGTACAGAGAGACCACTTGGGAGGACAAAAGGACCAGAGGGTAAAAATAATGACTGGGGAGCTTAAGGACTGAATAAAATGAAGACCAAACCCAGTCCAGTGGTCCCTTCTATGTGGCAGTCTGGATAGTGGTTGGGATTTTAAGGAACCGGTGATGCAAATGAGGAGCTGGTTATTCCCAGAGTAACACACGCGGTAGGGACGCACAAACCAGCAGCCGGGGACCCAGGCAGATTTACCGTCTCTGGAAATGGTTACGTCAAGACTAATATTTTCGAAAGCATGCCCTGGAGGGCCAGTGCAAGGAACCACCTGTGGCCTGTGCTGCACTGGAAAGCAGAGATCTGCAAACTTTCCTTCTGGCATTGCTTCTTCTATCCCTCGCCCCTCTGAGGTTCTCCATCCAAGCTGCATCCTGCCGAGAGCTGCAGCCCCAGCTGGAGATGCACTGGGCTGGGGGATCGTGAAGGACCCTTCTGGCCTTACAATCCACAAACGACGACAAAGCCTTACCCCAACGGCCCACCAGACAGCACGAGTCTCTCCAGGTCCAATCCACTCATCAGAACGTAGACTCCTTTGCTCAGTGCCCCCAAGACGTTTTCAGCTGCAAATGGCAAAGGGAAATGATTTACTTGCGTTCAGAAGTAAGGCAAGCTGCTGTCTGAGGGCCTGCGTTCACTGCGGAGAGGATCCAGGCTTTCAGTCCCATTCACCTTTCTTTTTGGCTCGAGACACAGTCTGGATGAGCCAGACAGGCGCTGAGGTTTGATACGTATGCTCCCTACCACCGAAACGTCTTCTCAAACCAACCGAAGCCAAAAAGGCAAAGGCACCAAAGGGTCAGGAACTGCATCTACAATCGCTGCTATTCTCTTGCCTGTTTTCTAAAGAGTAAGGCGCTCTCCAGAGATCTTCCCACTCAGCATTTGTACCAACAAGAACAGGAGACTTAACAGGCTGGGAGGACAAACTGGGAGCCCCCTTCATCATCCCATTAGTTTGTATCTACTACAGCTACTGGAGAGAGTCCAGCGGAGGGCCCCGAGGATGAGGAGGGGGCTGGAGCATCTCTCCTACGAGGAGAGGCTGAGCGAGCTGGGCTTGTTC